TCCACCTTATGCAGGGAAGGGAAGGGGAATAAGCATTTATATAGTGCCTACTATGAGCCAGGCTCTGTGCTAAGCATTTTTTTCTTTACAATTATTATATCATTTGATCCTAACAACAGCCCTACAAGATAGGTGGTGTTGTTCTTCCCATTTTACAGTTGATAAAACTAAGGCAAATGGATTAAGTGACTTATCCAGGGTCACATCCACTATGCCACCAGATGCCTATCTGTACACCGGGAGAGCATGATATACTTTGTCAAATATACCACTGACATCCAGGTATATTACATCTAAAGCATTTTCCTCTTGGGGAGGATAGGGGGGAGGAAAAGGGAGAAAAATTTTCACCTCAAAAGCATATGGAAAAAATTAAATTAAATTAAATTAGTAAGTAAAGCATTTTCCTGCCAGTCTAGTCAAAACCCTGTCAAAAAAGGAAATATGATAGCCTGGCATAACTCATTCCTGTTGGAGCCTTGCTGACCCTTAGTTATCTCTGTTTTCCTTTATAATGTTCCCAATCCATCCCTTTGATGGTTATTATGGAATTTTATGGGAATTAAAATTTGTTGACCATACCAATCTCCCTTTTTTGGAAAATCTGGACAAAGTTTATTCTTCTCCAGTCTTGTGACTTCTTTCCAGTTCTCCAGGATCTTTCAAAGCCTACCATTGGCCCCTTAGCAATTCTAGCACCTGATGAATTCAGTTCATTGAATGCAATTAAGCATCCTCTTATCATCTCCTCATTCTTCTAGGGTTTTAATTCTCTATTAAACATTTTTGTTCTGTCCTTTCTAGTGCAAAGACATTCCCATTAGCAGTGAAAATAGAAGCAAAATGAGAATTGAGTAAGTCTACCATTTCTCTACACTCTTATTATTATCCCATCTGATTTGAACATAGGCTTTATTCCTTCTTTGATCTTTTTGTCCCCTACACTCAGAGCACCTGTGATTTCATCCTGATGTGAGAAGTCTCCTACATAGATTCCAACCCATTCAGGACATAGTAAATGAGTCCTAGACATTTGCTTGAAGCAAATAAATGTTAAAAGACTTATCCTGAATCTGAGAATTCGTTATTCCTCTTACAGAAGAGATAGAATTTATTGTGAGTTCCTAACATCAATTTTTTTTTAGGCAATTGGGGTGAAGTGACTGGCCCAGGGTCACACAGCTAGTAAATGTCAGGTGTTTGGTCTGAGGCTGGTTTTAACTCAGATCCTCTGACTCCAGAGCCAGTGCTCTATCCACTGCGCCACCTAGCTGCCCCCCTAACATCATTTTAAAATATAAAAACAAACCCTTTTGTTGTCCTTAACATTCATAAACAGCTGCTAAAGTTCATGTTGAATGTATGTGCTCCTGGCACTGTTTTCCCAAGATCTTACTAATATTTCATAATCATCCTCCACTGCTGACCTTTACTTCTAGCTTTTGTGTGACTTCAAAAATCTTGAGTTGGTAGATCCATTCCTTATAGGCCTACATTGGTCTTTCAAACAAGTTCCTTTTTTTTCCCCCACAATCAGAATTTTTTTAGTTTAAGTCTTAGTATTTACTTGTTTGTGTATTTCCCCTATCACTCCATCAGAATATAAGCTCCTTGAGAACAGGGACTTTTTCTGTCTTTGTGTCCCTAGAACTCAGCACAGTAAATATTTAGTAAAGATACCTAGCAACCTGTTTTTGGTACTGTGGTATTTAATTTTTTTTTCATCAGAGATCTTGGTTGAGGGTATAGGAATCTTGCTTGTCAAATTTGCAGATTTGGGTGGGCTAAGCTGAACAGGCTAGCTACCATGTTGGATGATAGAGTTGGGATTCAAAGATGAATTGAATTGTATCTTCAAAATTTCTTTCTTGAGCACTTCCCATTCTTCTTTGGCTGACTCTCCAGGTAGAATTTTAGGCCATGGAATCCTATCTAGTCTTTCTCTAGTCTCTTCAAAATCTTCTCTGCCAAAATTTATCATGCATATCAGACTATACTCATCAATCCTCTCCTTCAAAAAATCCACAATGGCACAGTGGATAGAGCACCAGCCCTGAAGTCAGGAGGACCTGAGTTCAAATCTGGCCTCAGACCAAATACTTGACACTTACTAGCTGTGTGACCCTGGGCAAGTCACTTAACCCCAATTGCCTAAAAAAAAAAATCTACAATGAAGATGTATTATCTGCCCCTGAAAAACTTCTTCCTTGTTGGTCTGAATAAAGTTCAAAATAGTAATTCCTCTTCTTTCTTTGTCCCTCTTTTAAAGAATAAAATTCTCATTAAAGGAAATCAAGCTTTTCTGCTTTTAGCACATATCTAGGTAGTTGAAATCCCTCATCACTACCCTCTCATACTTTCATGTCAGATTTCTGAGCTATATTCTGAGCTATCCTTCTGTCCAGGTGGTCTATAATATATTTCTATAACATGACTTCTTTTTCTTCTTCCTTTGATCCCCAGTCAAATACATTCCAGCAAGTTTCCCTCTTCAGGTTCCTGAAATTCTTAGTATGTATATGTAGCAATGTTTGGGTTTCTGGGTTTTTTTGTCTTGATTTTTTTTTTAACCAGATATAGCAATCCCATGGGTGAGGGTGTGAGTGTGTGTTACAAGGTGAAAGTAACATTTCTAAGGTGCCACAGAGGACAAATATGCCAAACCCCACCTTCAACCTGGTACTTGACTAATTCTTTCATATCGAGTTCATAGGCTATCAGTACTTTCTGATATTTCTTTTAAAATTACTATAATAACAATAAGAAGGGTTGCTGGACCCTGGGAGCTTGAGCACTGCACCCTCTTTGACTCCACTAAGGGGATCCTCTATTCTGGACCCATGTGCTCTAACCAGGTTCAAACCTGAGCAAGCCTGGCCTCTAATGAGAAGGGTAGGCTTTTTTTTTAAACTCTTAAAATTTAATAATAGCTTAAAAGGCCATACTACACATACTAGAAATAGCAGAAGGAAAAGTAAAATTATAATATCTGCTTATAATTATTTGTATTTAAGATAAGTATTTACAATTTGTACACAGATAAATTATGGTAAAGTTATTTTTAAATTCTTGCATTGGTTGATCTGTATAATATTAAGACATAGTAAATCATAGTAAAATATTTAAAATTATTCTTTAAATTATAAAAAATTATTGTGACAGTTGATGTGCCTGGTCCTTCTAGCATTAAAAGCCTTGTGACTTCCCCAAAGGATAAATAGAAAATTACTTAGTGTAAAGTATAGATCAGGTATAGAATTGTTACTTATTTCCTATATACCAGCATTTCTCAAACTTTTTGGTATCAGGACGTTTTCTTAAAATTTATTGCAGACCTTTCAAAAATCTTTTGTTTATGTGGGTTTATGTGGGTAAATATCTATTGATATTTACCATATTAGAAATTAAAACTGAGAAGAGGAAGGGAAAAAGCATTTCCGTAGTGTTTACTATGTGCCTAGGCACTATGCTAAATGCTTTACAGATATTACCTTATTTGATCCTCACAAAAAAATATGCCAGGTAAGAACTGTTAATTATCCTCATCTTAGGAAACTGAGGCAAATAAAGGTTAAGTGACTTGCCAAGGATCACCCAGCTAGCAAGTATCTGAGGCCAGATTTGAACTTAGATCTTCCCTCCAGGTAAAGCAGCTCATGACCCACTTCACCACTTAGATGCTAATAAATTTTTAAAACATTTATCAAGGGGCAGCTAGGTGGTACAGTGGATAAAGCTCTGGCCTTGGAGTCAATAGGAGCTGAGATAAAATCTGGCCTCAGACACTTGACACTAGCTGTGTGACCTTGGGCAAGTCACTTAACCCTGATTGCCTCACCATAAAATAGTAATAATATTATAATTTATTAATTCATTTAAAATTACAATAGATTCATTACATGCTAACATAAATAACAATTCTATGAAAAATAGCTGTATTTTATGAGTGTCATTTTACTTGTTTTTGCAAATTTCTTTCATGTCTGGCTTAATAAAAGATAGGTATATTCTCATATCTGCTTCTTTATTTAATCTGTTGCAATATGTTGGTTTGATCAAAGTATATAAAGAAAATCTAGCCTCAAATAGATATGTAGGGGAAAAGGAAGGAATAATAGGCAAATACTATTTTCATTTTGCAAGGAAAATGTTTTGTACATTGAGGAACCCCATGAAAGGGTCTTGGAGAAGCCCAGGGGTCAACAGACTACTCTTTAAGAACCTCTACTCTACACAAAGGAAATGTCTAATCCCCCAAGTATGCTGTGGAAGCAAAACTTAAACAAGCAGCTGCGACATAACTGCTGTTATACTCTCCCAAGAGATAAATATATCAAACATCAAGACATGCTATTGTTTGCCAGACTGATGAATAGGCATTTTACATTTTGCCCTGGCTCTGCACCATCCAAACAATTTCCTCCAGATCCCAGTCTTCTGGCAAGATGAGTCAGAAGTCTAGCTCCTCCCCCTTGTCAGTGGATATCTCCTCCAATGCATAATAATAACTGTAATAGCTACTATTTACATGGCATTAAAGTTTGCAAAGCACTTTATAAATATTATCTCATTTGATCCTTGCGCAACAACTCAGGAACTGTTATTACATTTTACAGGTGAAGAAACTGAAACAGACTTGACCAGAATCACAGAGTTAATGTGTTCAATGCTGGATTTGAACACAAATATTCCTGACTTCAAGTCCAGAGCTCTATCCATTGTACTACCTAGGTGCCTGTTTTATTTATAGTATAAATACTCCCTATTTCCTGTTGGTTCTAACCAAGAGATCTAGCATCTCTGAACTTGTGGAACTCACAAGGATGCCGACAAAGATGGACATAGATATAGATGTATATTTATATATAGACATCTTCTTCAGTAACACGTATTATGCTGTTAAGTAACCCATGCTCAGGAAAGGAAACAAAGCAGAAAAGGCAGCCTGGGAACCCAAGGTGTTCCCAAGGTGTTCCAAGGTGAACCAAGACAAGACTTACCTAGTCAATTAGGTGGCACGTGGAAGCGGTCCCTATGCTGCTAGGGAAGGACAGTCCCACAATCCACTGATCACAAGAAGCTCAGAAAAAGTCTAAGAAAAAGCTGAGCCAGAAGTTCTCTTTTCTTTTTAAATTGAGGGGCAGTCTTTCAGTCTCTGTCACAGGGCTAGTGGACCAATAAGGGATTGGTTTTTGGTTTTTGGTTTTTGGTTTTTGGAGGAGTGTTTTTGTTGGTTGGTTGTTTTATTTTTTCCATCCTAAAGCAAAGAGCTCTTCAGCATTTATTGTTTATTTTTCTAGCTGTGGCCAGGACACAGATTCATGATTCCATGGGAAGTGCCCTAAGTCAGGACACTTATTACTAGAAGTGACCAGAGCTCAAAGCCTATTTCCATTAGCTCTGCAGCCTCCCATCCTAGTTTATTAAATACTCTTTTTCCATAAGCTTTCTCTTTCTCTTTCAATTTCAAACCCTGTTCTATTAAGCTTCGACAAGCATTGGTGTTACTGTGCTTATAATTTATTAATAGTAATAAATAATACGAAGATATAAATTAATGTTTCAACAATGTATTTATTCGCTTTGAGAAAGGTAAACAACCAGAGTCACTTGTACTTGTAAGGTCAACTGCTAACTTTTTTTTTTGTCTAGGCAATGACTTGCCCAGGGTCACTCACGACAGCTAGTAAGTGTTATGTGTCTGAGGCAAGATTTGAACTCAGGTCCTCCTGAACCCAGGGCCCTTGCCCTATCTACTGGGCCACCTAGCTGCCCCAACTGCTAACTTTTGTTGGGTTTTTTTCCCCCAAGGCAACTGGGGTTAAGTGACTTGCCACATAAGTATCTGCCTCTCTGTTTGAACTCAGGTCCTCCTGACTCCAGGGCCGGTGTTCTATCCACTGTTCATACTAGCTGTCCCAGCTGTTGACTTTTAGAAAACACAGGAACTACAGTCCAACAATTTAGTTCTCTCAAGATGACAGTTAAAATCTCTCAGGAATTCTTCTCAAAGTATCTTCTCCACAGAATGAGTTAAACTCAGTCCTCTCAAAATGTCTTTTCAGATTTTCTCGAAGATAGCAGTTAACTTTCACTCCCCAAGAGTCTATTCCCTCTGTGTTGTATATAAAGGAACAGTAACCAAATTTTGTATGAGAAGGGCTATTTAAGATAGGGTTACATTTGTATTTGTAGCTTCTAAAAAATGTACTGCACTACAACACGGCCCCTTCTATCACTTTTGTTATTTTTGATAATGTATATCCTTTTAGGGCCATGTAACAGTCTTCAGTCTTGTCCCATCAAGCTTCAGTGATATCTGTGAGCTCCAGTATACCTCTCTTCATTCAGATCTCTAGTTCACTGTCTTTATTACCCTTCCTTGACACATCTGTGCATAGATATATGAAGCTATGTTTTTGTTTGTTTTGTTGTTGTTTATTGCTCATTTTCTTCTAGGACATTGCTGCCTGCAAAATGTGCTAATCTTCCCTACTGATTTTATTTTTTCTACCTTGTTGCTGCCATCTCTTACTGTATGCATCTTAGTAGATCTATGCAGTTTAGGGCCTTTTAACCTCTTTTGCATCAAGGACCCCTTCGGAAGTCTGATGAAGCCTACGGATCCCTTATCAGAGTAATGTTTTTTAAATAAGTGAAAGAAATTTCAGTAGGAAGTTAGTGAAAATTAAGATGTAATTTTTTCTCCCATTCAGCTTTCATGGACTCCTTAAAATCTATCCATAAACTTCTTAGAGTTAAGAACCCATGATGTAGGGAGTTTTTTCCTTCCTCTTCCATTTTCACAATAAAAGTTTCTTTTTCTGATAAGATTTTTATTGGCTCTCATTAGGTACATTCCGTCCTTGACCAAGAGCCCTGAACTTTTGAATGGAAATTATCTTTTTTCTCATTTTTTTGGCCTATATTTTGAATTTGCACCTATTCTAATTCTTCTGTTTATCACAGTTCAGAGGATCATACAATGTTACAACTGAAAAAGTCTTTAGAGATCATCTATTCCTAATTTCCTCATTTGCAGATAAAATAATGTTTTTGGAAGTGTCTCCCAATCACACCCCATGACAACCAACACCATCAGGCTTAAAGGTCCTTGAGATCAGGGTCTGTTTGTATTGCTTTAGTCCTTTGGTCCAACATATTGCCTTGAATATAGTAGGTCTTCAATAAGTGTTTGTTTAATTTAATCTAATCTAATATAGGGATCTTGGTTTCAAGAGAAATCTTTTCTTCCTTGCTAAGGAGTATATTTATCTTTTACATACAGAATGCAAAGTAAAGAGCAAGAATGTTAAGTGGGACAATCTTAAACACTTAAAATACTTAAAAGTTTGTGTTATATAACTTTCACTCGCCCACAACCACATTTTTTCATGAATACACACATTTTCTTAATGAGTCTTATAAACCATTCTAGTATTAAGTGCCTACTATGTGCCAGGCACTGTGCTAAACTCAGGGGCTACAAACAAAGATAGTCCTTACCCCCAAGGAGCTTGTAATCTAACGGGGAAAAACAACCCACAAAAGGAATCTGGAAGGTGAAGGAGGGAGGGGAACCAGATGCATCTAGTTTGGGGAAATTGAAACCAGGCAGGGCTGCAAATGCAAAGTGGTCTGAAAGTCTAATTTCTGCCCTCAATGAAAGAAAGCTTTGGGAGGAATTGAGTACTCCACTCTTTTGTTGTTGTTCAGTCCTTTGTGTGACTCTCAGTGACCCAGCTGATCAGGGGTTTTCTAGACAAAGATACTGGAGTGGTTAGCCATTTCCTTCTCCAGCTCATCTTACAGATGGAAAAACTGAGGCAAACAGGATTCAGGGACTTGCCCACAGTCACACAGCTAGTAAGTGTCTAGATTTGAACTCAGGCAGATGAGTCTTTCTGACTGAAGGCCTGGCACTGTATCCAATACACTACCTATCCTGTCCTCCACTAAAAGGAGAGAAGAGGTTGAGGGAGGTGTATCAAGGCTTGAATTTGTAGCATGGTGAGGAGATTAGAAGAGATGAGCTGGGAAGGGCATCTTTTTCCTTGGAAACAGCTTGAATGGTTTGGAGTCTTTCAATTCCAACATTAATCCAGCTCCAAGATTTCCTATTTTTATATGAATTTCTATATATTAATTTTAAATATACCTAAACAACCTTTTCATTAAAAGAAATCAGCTGTGTTAAGAGGTCACAATAACACGATGATGACAGATAGGAGTGTGTGGGATGCCACTCAAAATTAAAAACATGCTTAGAGGTTTTTCAAGGAGAAACAGAAAATTAATTTATTATTTCAAATCTCGAGATTTGGGTCTCCCTCCACCAGAATGCTCTGATGAGAGGAGACAGAGCACAGGAGCTAAGAATCAGATTAAATAGCCCTAATGGGCACGTCCCCCCTCCCACCAACTGGCCAATGTTTTGGCTCACAATCTATGGAAACAAAAAAACAAAACAAAGAGATCTGTATTTAGCCCCTTAGTTTGCTGAAGTAATACCAAAGAAGCAATTAAAGATGTGCAGTCAAGCTAGACACTGTACTGTATAGTCAGGTCACCATGACCAAAATATAGCAACAGGTGTATCAACAAAATACAGAGGGGGTTTCAAGGGTTTAACAATGGCATGAGGGGGGCACCTGGGGCTGGATTCCCGTAAATCAGGTGATTTCTAGTAAACCGAAACTTAGGCCTGTTAGGCTGCTATGCCTGCCTTGAGTCTAATACAATTTCTATTTATTCTTCTAAGAAGTTTTCACTCAGCCTTATCCCAAACCTTAATTACACTAGGAGTCTTCACTGGGACATCCCATTCAGGAGACAGGGACCTGGACCTGGGATTTCATTTGTATAGAGAACTCCCAGATAAGGAAATATGCCAATATAGGTTGGCACTTTTTTCTTATAGTCTTATAGGTTGGCACTTTTTCTTATAGTCTTAGAAAGTTGTCTAGAGCAGAGGTATCAAACACTCTGCCAACAGATACATATGGCTAGTGACACTCCTGAGTGTGGTGAAAACCAGATTAAAATACAATTGGGACATATTTAACAAAACAAAAAAAACAATCAAACATAGATAATGTTAATATGTAGTTTTCTATGTCAACACACTGCCCACAGTTAGCCTTATATACAGTTTAGTGGCTCTTCATTTCTCTCTGAATTTGATACCACTAGCCTAGATCACTGAAAGATTAGATAAACTTGCTTAGAGTGATATAGTCAGTGTGTGTTAGAGGTAGGACTTGAATTCAAGTCTTCCTGAATTAATTAATTGTCAATTAATTAATTCCTTGCCTTTCAGAAAATCACAGAGTTGGAAGGGACTTAGTTTAATTTCCCATCCAATACAGAAATTTCCTCTATAACATCCAGGAATGTGCTGACACCAGCTTAAAACAGCTCTCCAGAGCCAATTTAAGAGATTTTTCACTGTAAGCATAGACACCTCAGAAATTGGCAAACTCTACAAATCAGGGTTGATTTATTATTTTGTTGATTGTCTAGACTAAAGAGAGGGATAGAGAGAATGTTAATAGTGTAGCTTAAACTTAAAGTGTATCACATGTACATTTTGGGGTGGGGCAAGCCAGTTGTTAAACATTTGCCAGTACAGCCCTGATAACTTCCCTAACATGTGGCTATCTGAACTCTATTTTAGTGTTTTTGGTCACAAGGAGCTCATTTCTTTCCTAGACAAACCATTCCACTTTTGGGTTGCTTTAATTACGAGAAAATTTTCCTTTATGTTGAACCAAAATCTTTCTCATTGTAACTTCCATTCAGTGGTTCTAGTTCTGCCCGTTCTGGCTGCTCAGAATATATGCACTCTTTCTCTCATATGAAATCTTTTAAATAAATATTCAAAGATAATTAAACATGTTGTTCCTATGTAATCTATTCTATATGTTAAAATTAACTTGTTTCTTCAATCCATTCTCATTTAACATAATTTTACAGAACTTTCACCATGCAAGTCATTCTCTCATTTTAACTTTTCAAAGTAATTTCAGTTATGATTTTTAATTCTCATAACTTTATGAGATGGGCTCAGATTCCTTAAGAACCTA